AGAAAGGTATCACAACGTAGGATTCAAGAAAGGAAGAAAAGGATGATACATGGAACCTTAAGTCCCAAGGTGGCCAATGTCATCTCTGTAACTGACTCAAGAAATGGGAACGGACACTTCAACTTTTTCTGCTCAGTGATAATCAATTCTGCTTTAAAGACTTTCAGACAGATATCTTCCTTGTTTACAAACCTTTACTACCAAGAAACTCCCTATAGTAACCCAAATTTTTCATGTTTAAGCTCATGTTTTTATTAGTTGACACTGAGAAAATATGAAAAAATAGCCTGTCATTATTCCCTTCATTTATTCATTGAATAAACATTTACTTAAAACTTGGTGATGGGAATACCGGGTTCTTGTACTTTGAACAGCTCACAGCTGAGTGGGAGAAAGATGTGTAATTAGGTAACTGGGATAAATGCAATGGGAGAGATATGTACAGCATATTAGAAAAAGATACAGGAAGGAGAATTAGCTTTACTGTTAGGAGTCATGACACAGATACTCCTAGAAGAGGTATTTCAGTGGAAACTAACAAGGAAAGAGGGGCATTTCAGAGAGAGAGAGAACAGCCAATGCTTGACACAGGAATTGAAGAGTATGCCACATTCTCTCGGTAAGCAACTTAGTAGAGCTCGAATGTGGAGTGAATAATGAGAGAGAGGAGAGAGATAAGGATAGAAAGGGAGGGAACAGGATTTGCAAGGACCTTGGTATAAGGGCATGCTGCGAAGTTGGGAAGTTTATTCTCTTGGTAAGTGCAAGTAGTTACCAGAAAGATTTTGAGCTTTCATATACTCAAATTAGTACTTACACTATTTCCCGGTTTTCTCTTCTTTATATTTTATAAGCCTGTCTTTCCATATATGTAGATATTTGCTTCCAATCCTTTATTTCTCTGAATCCTCTGTAAATTCTCACTTTCTCTCAGCCCAGAACTAGACACAAAAGTCTTAAAAGGAAGTAAACCTATACTCCGTACATGGACACTGTCCCATGCACTATATGCCTCAAGTACTCCAACATCAATTATTAAAATAGCTCTTCTCATTCTTCTTGGTGTGCATCAGAGGGTCCTAGGTTAATTTTATAGAAATGAGTTGAGGGGCACCTGGGTGGCTCAGTCGGTTAAGCATCTAACTCTTGATTTCAGCTCAGGTCATGATCTCAGGGTCATGAGATCAAGCCCCACGTTGGGCTCGGTGCTGGGTCTGGAGCCTGTTTAAGATTCTCTCTCCCTCCCCCCACTTGCTCACGCTCTCTTTCTCTTAAAAAAAAAAAAAAGAAGAAGCAGAGTTCAGAAGGAGAAAAGATAGAATTTGCTGACAAAGTCCTAAATCAGCGTGGAGTCAATCTTGAGTATGGAACAGTAAGCTCTTCAGTGAACTCTTAAAGATTTAAGGTCAATGTCTCATTTATTCAATACTTAAGGTCACTCCTGGGTACCAATTTTTCTTTTTTAAACTCATGGAAATTCTCAGGTAAACTAAGAACACAAAAAGCAGTGGGTAGCAGCAGGTATCTCTCTCCCCTCCAGCAACTTGACTTTGAGTACAGTAGCCTACATTATGATGGGTAAGATAATTTACAATAAAATTTAAAATAAGAGCACTGTAAATTAAGGCACAAATTAAAGTGCACAAACAAGTGAAAATAGTAGCAATCAGTTCACTAAATTAGATGCCAGCTTTTTTTTTTTTTTTTTTTAGTTAGACCTTCTTTTTAGTTACCAGAAGTCTTTTGATCTCTTCAGAGTGAAAGAGATGCTGACACTGAAGTGGGAATGGCATTAGTCATGGTTCCCTTACTCCCTTCACCATGGACACCTATTAATTTGAATGTCACACAACGAAAAAAAAGAATTTTGCTTCCATTTTATAAATGGAAAAACAGATTTAGAGAAATTAAGCATTTTCCAGTTTTAGTATCACTTAATTCACATTCAATGCTCCAAAATTGGGCATTTTCCCTTTTCCTTTTGTGTCCCAAGTTGGCTATACTAGTTTTCCAAAATATGGACAGTATTGCTAAATAATTCTAATCTGTACGTACAAGAGCTATCAGAAATGAGTGGGTTTGGGGTGCCTGGGTGGCTCAGTCGTTAAGCGTCTGCCTTCAGCTCAGGTCATGATCCTGGGGTCCTAGAATCAAGCCCTGCGTTAGGCTCAGCGGGAAGCCTGCTTCTCCCTCTCCCACTCCCCCTGCTTGTGTTCCCTCTCTCATTGTGTCTCTCTCTGTCAAATAAATAAAATCTTAAAAAAAAAAGAAAATGATCAAATTAAGAAAACTATCATGTCCTTGGAAAAAATATCAACCCGATATCAAACTGCATACTAAACTGAAAATTTAAAAAGCAACAGGAAGGTCTAACTTCTGTATTTGTGCAACTGAACTGATCTGCCATTTTATATTCTCCTTCTTACATCATTTCATTAATATAAGCTATAAACCCCACAGAGTATCAAGTGTCAAAACTAGAACAATAGTCATAGAATATAACATTTAGTTCATTAAACTGATGCTCTTCATTAACACATCTATACAGGGCTTGACTTATCTGAAAAATAAGCTACAGTAGAACGCACAAGAAAGTTTTAAAACTGAGTTTATTTTTTATTTTATTTTATTTTATTTTATTTTATTTTATTTTATTTTGGGGGGAGGGGTTGGACAGGGAAAGGGAGAGAGGAGTCCAATGCTGGGCTCAATCTCATGACCCTGAGATCATGACCTGAGCTGAAATCAAGAGTCGGATCTTTAATTGACTGAGCCACCCAGGCACCCCTAACGGAGTTTAAACTATGACGGAGAAGCGGTTGCAACAGTATCTCCTATGCCACATGCTCTTCCTACACCTCTCATTCAGTGGTGTGGGGTCTATGTCTCTGCTCCTTAAACCTGGCTGGAGCTTTCTGTCTGCTTAGGCCACCAGTATAGCAAAGTGATGCAACATGACTTTTAAAGCTAGATCATAAGAATGCCATACATGTCTCCTTTACTCTCTTGGGACATTTGCTCATAGACTCAGCCACCATGCTGTGAGGAAGCCCAAACTAGCCCAAGTGGAGGGACCATATGGAGAGGCTATGTGTAGGTATTCCAAATGATGGTCTAGCAGAGGTCCTGGCCAAAACCCAGTCCCAGATGTCGTGGAACAGAAATAAGCCATTCCCACAGTATCCTATCCTAATGCCTAGATCACAGAATCTGTGAGCATAACCAATGGCTGTTTCATGCCAGTAAGGTGATTTTTTTTATGCAGCAAAAGATAACCTGAAAGAGGAAGGGTAAAGAAAGTATCTTTGGGACTGTTTAAAGCATGGTTTCATTTGCAGTAGGATACAACTTTGGGTAAGTGGGAAACAAATGCAACAAAGTGACCAGCTAGCCATGCAGCATGGAGCTGCTCTTTCTGGGAAAAACAACTATAACAACAAATGAATACGAGACCAACCCAAGTCACATTGGTGGCAGTCCAAGAAACAACGAGATATTTTATGAGATACCATGATTATTTTTTTATTTTTATTTTTTAAAGATTTTATTTATTTATTTGACAGCAAGAGAGACAGCGAGAGAGGGGACACAAACAGGGGGAGTGAGAGAGGGAAAGCAGGCTTCCCGCCGAGCAGGGAGCCCAATGCGGGGCTTGATCCCAGGACCCTGGGATCATGACCTGAGCCGAAGGCAGACGCTTAATGACTGAGCCACCCAGGCACCCGAGATACCATGATTATTACTCATCAATTACAAACAGTAGTCACTGAGAATTTCATGTCTTCTCAGTGTGAATAGGACTGCTATTATTAAATATGCCATTTATTCCACACTTAGGCACAAGCTAGTATCATCAACTGTAGAAGTGAAGAGTTCTTACCACGTCTCTCTCCTTAACACACACACATACACATGTTATCTTAGAGAGACTGAAGTCAAGTTTTTTTGGGTACACTAAGAAAACAACGTGCTAAAAATATTTATTTTGGATACCAAAAATTTCCCTAGTTTAAAATATTTATCTTAACATGTCATATTTTTAAAACAGAATGAATAAAGGGAAAAAAACCCATAAAACTTAGAGATAAATATTGCTACTATTTTGATGATTTTCCTCTCTGTCTTTTTCAATGTATTTAAAAAAAAAACAGTCTCTATCATTTCAAAATGGAGTTTATATGCCATATATATTTTATATCCTTCTTTTTATACAAAAGGACATTGTGAACATTCTCCTATGTCCTTTCAATATTCTTTCAAGACATCATTGTATAGATAAGTTTTAAGGGCTACATAACAAGTATATTTATGATATAATTTATTTGCTCATTCCTCTATTTTGCACAATTACCATTTTGTAGTTTTTGCTATTACAAATAACATTTTGATGAAAACCTGCATACAGATCTTTGTTAATAGAATTACTGGGTAAAGGGGAACGAACATTTCTTGATGAAGTCTAACTGCTTTCCAGAAAAGTGTGGCAAGTTACATGCAACCAGCGGTATAAAAGAGTCATCAATAAAATGTCACCGCCATCATGTTTCTTAAAATCCAAGTTACATATTTTACAGATATGGTAAGATGTCACAACATAGAATAAGAGATGTTTTGGGGCACCTGTCTGGCTCAGTCAGTAGAGCACGCGACTCTTGATCCCAGGGTTTTGAGTCTGAACCCCACGTTGGGTGTAGATATTACGTAAAAATAAAATCTTAGAGAGATGTTTTAGTAAGTAACTTCTGATGTTGAATTCACACTAATATAATTTAGATAAAAGTTTAAGTTTTATTTAAAAAATACAAAGTGCCTTAAACAGAAGGGATGACTAATAAAATATTTGTTGAGGGGTGCCTGGGTGGCTCAGTCGTTAAGCGTCTGCCTTCGGCTTAGGTCATGATCCCAGAATCCTGGGACCGAGCCCCACATCGGGCTCCCTGCTCGGTGGGAAGCCTGCTTCTCCCTCTGCCTCTCCCTCTCCCTCTGCTTGTGTTCCCTCTCTCTCTGTGTCTCTCTGTGTCAAATAAATAAATAAAATCTTTAAAAATAAATAAATAAAAAGAAAGTTATTTTGGGGACGCCTGGGTGGTTCAGTTGGTTAAGCATCAGACTCTTGATTTCATCTTAGGTCACAATCTCAGGGTCGTGAGATCGAGCCCAGTGTTGGGCTCAGTGCTGGGTGTGGAGCCTGCTGAAGATTCTCTCTCTCCCTCTCTTAAAAAAAAAGTTATTTTGTTGATGCTGTATTTTATTTGTGATAAACTTTGTTTCCTAATTATTTTAGGCTCTAAAAATTATGGAGAATGTATATAGCTCTATCTTGTTCCAGTGTATTGATTTTAAATTCAGAATACTTGAGATTTAAATGATCTGTCTGCCAAGTAGATTTTTAAAACCAGTTACTTTACCTATGTGTGAATTTTACATATGTAAGTAATTATCATTGAATGTTTATTGAGCATTTACTGCTTATCAAGCAGGATTCTAAGTGATTTAACATGGATTTTCTTCATTTACTCTCCATAATTATTGTATGAGTTAAGTATTATCACCCCTATTTTACAGTTGAGAAAACTGACAAATTAATGAATTGCCCATGGTCACACAGCTAATAGGTAACAGAGCCAAGAATTGCACCTAGACATTTTGATTTCAGAGATTTTGTTTTTAAAGCATTGTGTTATATTTCCTTCTCCCTTATTTTTCTGACATCCTTGTGAAGTAGAAATAGATACTATTCTTTTATCTTTTGTATAGATTATGAAAATGAATTAGGAAAGAATGTTTAAATTTACCAGGAGTCGCAGACAGTGACAAATGAGGCTTAGAATTCAAGTACCCGGACTTTTTTAAAAGGTGGTGTTTAGTTTTTCATTTGGTTCAAACTTTCAACAAATATTTTTTTTTTTAAGATTTTATTTATTTATTTGACAGAGAGAGACACAGTGAGAGAGGGCACACAGCAGGGGCGAGTGGGAGAGGGAGAAGCAGGCTTCCCGCCGAGCAGGGAGCCCAACATGGGGCTCAATCCCACGCTTAACGACTGAGCCACCCAGGCGCCCCACTTTTTTTCTTTTCCTTTTTTATTTTTTTTGGATACCATTAGTTTATTATAAAAGAGAGACATGAAAATTATTTACATGATGAAAGATTTCACAACTTCACTGGAATGGGCAGCTTCACTTCCATGCCATTTTAATAATGATTTCAGTCCACATACTTTCCGATAATGTCACCATCTCTAAATAAGAAATAATCCTTATCATCTAGAACTACTTTGGTGCCTCCATATTCTGGGAGAAGAACTTTATCTCCAACTTCCACACTAACTGAACTAACTGGTTGAATCTCTCCACCCTTTCCTTTAGAGCTTGATCCAACAGCTACTACTGTTGCTTGCGACACTTTTTCTTGAGATTTTTCTGGAAGCATAATACCTCCTATGGTTACAGTTTCAGCTGCACTCCTTTCAACTAAAACTCGGTCAAAGAGGGGAAGAAACTTTCTAAACGCCTGCCCTGCCATGACTCCGGCCGCCGCAGTTCGTACTCTGCTCTGGAGCTGCCGCCGTGCAATAACTTTCTTTTTAAAGAGGTAATTCTTTCTGTGGTTCTTCACTTGACTGGATCCTTTTCACCCATCAAATCTTAGTTCAAATGTCCCCTCCTCAAATCACTCAAGCCCTCACATATTTAAATTATCCTCTACTGTGCCATACAGTTTTCACACTCTAGTTATTTATCTGTCTCTTCCCACCATAATGTAAACTCCATGACGGAAGAAGCTTAGCCTTTTCTGTCACTATGAATATACTCAGTTCAGACATTCAATAAATATCTGACAAGTGACCAACAAATCAATGATATAACAGATGGCTAGGCACTGAAAGAGTTGGCATAGAGGCTACAAAACTTTTTCAAAGATGGCCCACGAGATTTGGGTTTCTCATTTTTATCATGACCTACAGTTTAAAAATATGGTTTTTTTGTTTTGTTTTCTTAAAAGTATGTTTTATATCAAGATTGAGTAAGCACATATATCCACATAACTAAAGGAAGTGTCAGACAAAAATACTATTCTTACTATACATGATGAATTCTGAGATTTTTATTCCATTCTATTCTTTTTCATTAAGATAATTACTGCAGCCCACTAAACTGATTTTATATCATATTATTGTGTAAAGACTTGAAGTGTGAAAAACACTGCTCAAGGTCAGAGGTTATTAAGCTCATATCTGAAAGGAATGTTTAAATATAGGCATGGAAAGGAAGAAATAAAAGTGTCTGATCACAGACGACATGATCACCTATGTAGAAAGTCTGAAAGAATTGGGAAAAAAAAGAATCTCTTGGAACTAATAAGCAATTATAGCAAGGCTGTAGGATACAAGGTTAATATACAAAAGACAATTGATTTCCTATATACCAGCAGTGAACAAATGGAATTTGAAATTAAGAACAAAATATTCGCATTAGTGAAATCTAACAAAATATGTATCTGCATGAGGAATATAAGGAAATCAAAGAATAACTAAATAAATGAAGAGATATTCTATGTTCATCAGTACAAACACTCAATTTGCAACAGAGAGATTTGATAAAAGACTATAGCCAAAATACATAAAGAACTACTGAAACTCAAAATAAAAAAACCACCAACCGGGGTGCCTGGGTGGCTCAGTCAGTTAAGCATCTGCCTTTGGCTCAGGTCATGATCCCAGGGTCCTGGGATGGAGTCCCACATTGGGCTTCCTGCTCAGCAGGGAGTCTGTTTCTCCCTCTCCCCGCTGCCCCCTCCCCACTAGTGCTCTCTCTCTTACTATCTCTCTCTCTCAAATAAATAAAATCTTAAAAAACGAAAAACACCAACCTTATTTAAAAAGGGGCCAATGGCCCCTACAGACACCTCTCCAAAGGAAGATCTACAGATTGCAAATATGCATATGAAAAGATGCTCCACATCATTTGTCATTAGGGAAATGTAAATTAAAACGAGATACCACCAAACACCTATCAGAATGGCCAAAGTCTGGAACACTGACAACACTCAACGTTGATGAAGATGTGTAACACCACAAGAATTCTCACACACTACTGGTGGGAATGCAAGATGGGACAGCGATTTTGGAAGATAGTTTAGCAATTTCTAATAAAAGCAAACATACTCTTACAATAAGATCTAGCAATCATGCTCCCTGGTAATTACCCAAAGGAGTTAAAAACTTAAGTCCACACAAAAACCTGCACTTGGATGATTATAGCCCCTTATTCATAAAATGCCCAAAATTGGAAGCAAACAAGATGTCCTTTATTAGGTGAATGGATAAACTGTGGTACATCCAGACAATGGGATATTATCCAGTACTAAAAAGAAATGATCTTTTTAGCTGTGAAAAACATGTAAGAACCTTAAATGCATATTACTAGGGGAAGGAAGCCAATCTGGATGATTCCAACTATATGACATTCTGAAAAAGGCAAAATCACAGATACAATAAAATTAGGTTGCAGGGCTTGGGAGTGATGGAAGGGATGAACAGGTACAATAGAAAATTCTTAGAAAATCCATAATGATGGATACATTTCATTACACATTTGTCCAAACTCATAGGATGTAAAACACCAAGAGGGGAACCATAATGTAAGCTATGGACTTTGGGAGATTATGATGTGTCAATGTAGGTTTATCAGTTCTAACAAATGTATTACTCTGGTGTGGGATGTCATTAAGAGGAGAGGCCATGCATGTGTAGGTACAAGGTGCATATAGGAAATCTCTGTACCTTCCCCTCAATTCTGCTGTGAACCTAAAACTGCTCTGAAAAAATAAAATCTTAATTAAAAAAAAAAAAGAGCATGTAGTTTTGTATATGTGAGTTTGGTGGTAAGGCAGGATGTCATAGTTTTCAGATTCCTGAATAGTTTCCTGTCTTCTTAAATTTAAGGGCTTCTATTATCATATATTCATTATTATTTGTGAAGCACTACACAAAAATACGTATAAAAATGTGGTTTATTTTTTTATTTTTTATTTTTATTTATTTTTAAAGATTTTATTTATTTATTTTGACAGAGAGAAAGAGAGGGAGAGAGCACAAACAGGGTGAGCGGCAGAGCGGCAGGCAGAGGGAGAGGGAGAAGCAGGTTCCCAGCTGAGCAAGGAGCCTGATGTGGGGCTCAATCCCTGGACCCTGGGATCATGACCTGAGCCAAAGGCAGATGCTTAACTGACTGAGCCACCCAGGCACCTCTAAAAATGTGGTTTAATATAGGGATGGCAGTATATGATAGAAAAGAGCACTGATTCTACAGTCTGAGAAAGCTCAAGTTCAAATCCTGGATTCATCATTTACTAACTCTGCAACTTTGTACAAATTACCTTACCTATCAGCCTCAGTTTTGTTATCTGGAAAGTAGTTGAACATCTATTTCATGGGGTTAAGTAAAATAAAAATTATATAAAACATCCATTATAGAGCCTGCATAAATGGTAGCTATTCAATAAATGGTAGGCATCATTATTATATTCTAATATTTCCAACAAAATTAACTTCCATAGCTAAAATACAATCTTAAACAAAGTATAATAAAATTATAAAATGTAAATTAAGAAAAATAGATTATTCATGTGTATGTAGAAATTATATTCCAAAATCTTACTTTTCCTCATAGCTAACACTGCTGTATAGGAATAATTGCAACATGTTCTTCCATGTATGAATTTATCAGCTCAATAAATGTACCAAGTTACCCCCCCATATACAAAGTCTCTGGAAAAATGATTTAGCAAGAACAAACTGACGGTTTCCAGAGGGGAGGTGGGTAGGGGGATGGGTGAAATAGGTGATGGGGATTAAGGAGGGCACACATTGTGGTGAGTACCGGGTGACGTACAGAATTGTTGAATCACTATATCATACACCTAAACTAATATAACACTATACATTAACTAACTGAAATTAAAAACTTTTAAAAAATGACTTAGCAAAAGTATAAATAAATTACTCCCCTCACCCCCATGATTGCAATTAACAATTTATGGCTTTTTAACCAATGTTCCTTACATCACTTAGCTGCCTGTTGCAGAGTGGTGTGGCTGCATTGGTATTCTGCTTATTCCCTGCCTTTAAAGCTGCATCTCTTCTTGCTTGCTCAAGCAGAACTCTTGCTCTTTCCTTAAGTTCTTCTTGTCTTGATAACATTCGATGCTTAAAAGCAAAAATACAGAATTAGGAACTCAAAAAAACCCCCATATAATCTATATTTATAAATTAATCAATGGTTTTATTATCTGTCAAAATAATAGAGATCAGGAATAAGACTGTAGTTTTATGAGAGTACTTAAAGAAAATATTAATGTTGACTAGAAACTGTAGAAAGTCTTGACACACAGGAAATATATCTTTGCTGCCTAAAACTGGATTACATTTAATTTCCATTTGTATTAGAATATATTCCCATAAAGTACAATGTCCATATGTATATTATATACATTCTTCATATTTGCTAATCACAGTCTAACTTGGGAAAGACATTTAAAAAAATTTTTATTTCTTATAGTTTTATAGGACTGATAACAAGGTGTCTTCCAAATTGGTATGCTGAAAGATATTAAACATCTGTGGCAATAATCCTTTAAATCCTTGACAATTAACATTTATAGAAAATTCAAAACTATCATATTTTGTTTAAAAAAAATAAAACTAGTTTTCACCAATGCTCACTTACCTTACAACAAAACAATTAACCACATCAGAATTGGAAGAGTATTTTCTTGGATTAATTTGTAATCTTACAATATATTTTTGGATAACAACAGGTAATGACCAGCAATGGAAATGCGTTCTTAAATGATACATTAATTCAAAGCACAAATATCCATAATGTTTATAGTTCAAATTCCTTTTTCCTTCCAAAAAGTAGCCAACTTCTGGCTTTAGACAGCTATTACTATTACTCTGATATTTAATTTCTTTTACTTCCCTATTATTGTATAGTTTTGGCTCAACTGTAAGTAGCATTCATGGTCAAGGAAGAGGTAATAAACAGTAAACATAGTTTTCGGTATAAAGTGAAACGTAAAAAAATTATTACATCATTTTTAGGTTTCACTGAGATTTTTATGTTTTAATATAACTATTTTTAAACTCCTGCAATCTTAAGCAAGGAAAGATTTTTTTAAAGTATACAGTTCAGTGGTTTTTACTATATTCACAAGGTTGTGAACCATCAACACTATCTAATTCCAGAACATTTTCATCACCCAAGGTTTTAAGAGGATTAAACAAAAATTCTTCACTTAAAAGATATAATTGAAATGTATAAGTGATAATGATAGATTTTTCGTCATGTTAATAGGATATAATAGAATAGAACTGGGCATTGCGTTTAAACTGGTTACAAATCAACACTTTCTCTAAAACAGACCAGATTAGTTAAATGAACACTGAATTTGCAGTGAAGACATCAGGCTATTAATCCTTCTTCCACTAATAATAAGCAATGTAACATTGAACGGTCACTTAGAAAGCTCTACTGTATTCCATTACACGACACATAAGAACCTTGGAGAAAGACAGACCTTGGTTCAAATACTAGATACATCACCTAATTGTGGAACAGTTACTCAATCCCTCTAAGCCTCAGTTTCCTCATCTATAAAATGGGGATAAAAACAGATCAACTCTCACACGGATAAAGATTAAGTGATACAGAGTAATGTACTGAGCACTAGATAAATGTTAACTATTATTTTGTTTTTAAAATCCTCTCAATTGCCTCATATTTGAAATGAGGGGAGATCATTTTTAAAATCCCACTAGCTCTAAAATTGGTGATTAGAGTATATCATCTTTAAGATCCTACTGGCTCTAGGGGCACCTGGGTGGCTCGGTCAGTTAAGCATCTGCCTTCGGCTCAGGTCATGATCCCAGGGTCCTGGGATCAAGCCCCGCATTGGGCTCCTTGTTCAGAGGGGAGTCTGCTTCTCCTTCTCCCTATGCCCTCCCCCTACCACCACCACTCATGCTCTCTCTCTCTCAAATAAATAAAATCTTAAAAAAAAAGTCCTACTGGTTCTAAATTCTGTGAGTCTACAGACCTTTAGGGATTCGAGTTAACTACATAGAGAGGGAAAGACTGCTTTGGTCTTAAGAGCACACAGAAACAAACTTTTTTCTGATTATAAATGCAATTCATATTTATTATAAAAATTAAAAAAATACACATAAGTAAAAAGAAAAAGAAAAATAATCAGAGGCATCATGTTCCCTGATTTCAAACTGTATCACAAAGCTATAGTAATCAAAACAGTATGGTACTGGCATAAAGACAGACACATAGATCAAAAGAACAAAATAGAGAGCACAGAAATAAACCCAAGCATATATGGTCAATTAATTTACAACAAAGGAGCAAAAAATACACAATAAGGAATGGACAGTCTCTTCAATAAATGGTGTTGGGAAAACTGGGCAGCCACATGCAAAAGAATGAAACTGGATGCCTATCTTACACTATATACAAGAATCAACTCAAAATGAATTAAAGACTTGAACATAAAATCTGAAACCATAAAACTCCTAGAAGAAAACACAGGTGGTAAGCTCCTTAACAATGGTCTTGGTGATTATTTTTTTGGATTTGATATCAAAAGCAAAGGCAACAAAGGCAAAAATAAAGAAGTGGGACTACATCAAACTAAAAAGTTTCTGCAGAGTGAAGGAAACCATCCACAAAATGAAAAGGCAATCTACTGAATGGGAGAAAATATTTGCAAATCATGTATCTGAGAAGGGGTTAATATCTAAAATATATAAAGAACTCACACAACTCAATAGCAATCCAGTTAAAAAACAGGCAGAAGATTTGAATAGACATTTTCCCCAAAAAGACATACAAATGGCCACAGGTACATGAAAAGATGCTTAACATCACTAATTATCAAGGAAATGCAAATTAAAACCATAAGGAATTATTACCTCACACCTGTTAGAATGGCTATTATCAAAAAGACAAGGAATAACAAATGTTGGTGAGGATCTGGAGGAAAGGGAACCCTTGTGCACTGTTGGTAGGAATGTAAATTGACGCAGCCATTGTGGAAAACAGGATGGAGGTTCCTCAAAAAAACTAAAAATAGGGGCACCTGGGTGGCTCAGTCGTGCAGCGTCTGCCTTCGGCTCAGGTCACGATCCCAAAGTCCTGGGATCAAGCCCCACATCGGGCTCCCTGCTCGGCGGGAAGCCTGCTTCTCCCTCTCCCACTCCCCCTGCTTGTGTTCCCTCTCTCGCTGTGTCTCTCTCAAATAAATAAATAAATAAAATCTTTTTAAAAATTAAAAATATAACTACCCTATGATCCAGAAATTCCACTTTTGGGTATTTAGCTGAAGAATGCAAAAAACTAACTCAAAAAGATGTATGCACCCCCATGCTCCCTGTGGCATTATTATTATTATTTTTAAAGATTTTATTTATTCATTTGAGAGAGGGAGCACAAGCAGGGTAAGCGGCAGGCAGAGGGAGAGGGAGAAGCAGGCTCCCAGCCGAGCAGGGAGCCCGACGCGGGGCTCAACCCCAGGACCCTGGGATCCTGACCTGAGCCGAAGGCAGTTGCTTAACCGACTGAGCCACCCAGGCGCCCCTATTATTATTATTTGTAAAGATTTATTTATTTGAGAGAGGGAGACCGCGCATGTGTGTGCACACTCATTGGTGCTCAAGCTGGGGAGGGGCAGCAGGAGAGAATCCCCAAGCGGACTTTCTGCTGAGTATGGAGCCCAACACAGGGCTTGATCCCACCACCCGTGAGATCACAAAATGAGCCAAAACCAGGAGTCGAGCGCCCAGCTGACTGAGCCACCCAGGTGCCCCCACTGCAGCATTACTTACAATAGCCAAGGTATGGAAACAACCTAAATGCCCACTGATGAATAAAAAAAACTGTGATACACACACACACACACGTACATATACACTCAGGGGCATATTATTCAGCCATAAAAAGAGAATGAAATCTTGCTTTTGTGACAACATGCATGGATCTTGAAGGCGTTACATGAGGTGAAATAAGTAAGACAGACAAAGGAATACCATATGATCTTGCTTGTATGTGGAATCTAAAAACAAAACAGAACCCCCTCAAAACCCAAAAACCAAGCTCACAAATACAGAGACTGACTGGTAGTTGCCAGAGGCTGGGAGTAGGATGTGGACAAAATGGGTGAAGGGGATCAAGAGGTACACAATTTCAGTTATAAAATAAATAAGCTATGGGGATATCATGTATGGCATGGTGACTACAGTTAGTAATACTGTATTACATATATGAAAGTTGTTAAGGCAGTAGATCTTCAATGTTCTGGTCACAAGAAAAATTTTTGTAACTACGTATGGTGATGGATGTTAACTAGGCTTACTGTGGTGATCATTTCACAATGTATACAAACATCAAATAATTGTTATATACCTGAAACTAATATGTCAATTATAGCTCAATAAAAAAGAATGATTTAAAAATAAAAAACAAAATAAAGATAATTAGCAATCCTGGCACCCAGAGATAATCACTGTAGAATCATGCTTTTTAAACTTAATATTCTATTGTGAGAATATTCTCATGTAAATATTTTTAAAATATTTTTAAACATAATCTTTTAAACTGTTCACCTAGCATTCTATTAATACAGATGCATCATACTCTATTTAACTTGTCTTATATTATTGGGTATTTAGGTTGTTTATAATTTTTCACTATCATTAACAATGTTTTATAAACATCTTTGTATAGGGGTGCCGGGGTGGCTCAGTCAGTTAAGCGTCTGACTCTTGACTAGGCTCAGGTCATGATCTCAGGGTCATGAGATTGAGCCCCACATTGGGCTCTGCACTGGGCATGGAGTCTGCTTAATTCTCTCCCTCTCCCTCTGCCACTGGCACCTTCCTCCCCACCCCACTCTCTCTCTCTCTTTAAAAAAAAAAATCTTCATATATAAATTCTTGTATACAATTCTGATTATCCTAGGGGAAATAATTCCTGGAGGTAGAATCTAGTGAGATAAACATTTTTAAGGGACTTGATGTACATTGCTAAATTGCCCTTCAGTAAAGTTGACTACTTTACATCTGGGCTGATTATCTTTAGTGCTATTATGGTAAAAAATGAAGAGATATTGTGAGTATATAGCTTAGGAGCACAGACTTTGGAGTCAGAAAAGGTTGGTTTTGAATTCAAACTTTAACACTTATTAAGTGATCTTAGGCATCTCTGTAAACTCCAGTTTTCCCATATATTAAATAGAATTTAACCACTTAGCTCATGGGTTATAAAGTTTAAGAGGGATATGTGTAAGATATATAAAGGTCATCATATGTATTAGCCACTCAAATGAGCAACATTATGACTTTAAGTCTATACAGCCACATTAAATTATCAAATTTCTTCTAATCTAATGCCATTAGTTACTAGACATACTATTATTTTACGAATGACTAAGAAAGAACAAACATTGTCAAACTCTAACATACTATTATAAGTAGGATCTTGATTTCAGAGAACTTAAAATATAAAAAGATGCATATCTTAGCACTGATGAAATGCAGTATGTAAAAGAAAAACAGATTTTTTTATTATTCAAATTTAGCTGCTAAAATTGCCCAGTTTTAAAAACCTATGAAATATTGCAGTCACATTACAATTTTTTGGGTCAGGCAGTATACTTCCTTTTTTTTTTTTTTTTTAAAGATTTTATTTATTTATTTGACAGAGAGAGACACAGCGAGAGAGGAACACAAGCAGGGGGAGTGAAAGAGGGAGAAGCAGGCTTCCCGCCGAGCAGGGAGCCCGATGCGGGGCTCGATCCCAGGACGCTGGGATCATGACCTGAGCTGAAGGCAGACGCTTAACGACTGAGCCACCCAGGCACCCCAAGGCAGTATACTTCTGACAAAAAAACAAAAAACAACAAACCTTTAACTTGACCCTAAACAAAATTCTGACCATTAAACCAATGGACAATAAACAAATATATATGAAGTTGTAAATAGATACTGCCTCTATTATCCTGTGGATTTACTGTACATCATTTAAACCTCCTGAATAGCATCAAAGCATGATAGAGTTTTAGAGCTAAAAAGACTCTTAGAGATTATTTCATTTAACGTATGTGGAAAATCAGATTAAAAGAATTTAAATGGCTAATTAACATGTCACACTGGTAATTATTAGCAGAGCCAAGATGAGAATCCAGGTGTACTCATTCCCAGTCCGGAGTATTTTCAATTTTTAAACATGAATCAATTTCTAGATTTAACCAAATAAATTTACCTTAAAAATCTGGGTTATAAGAAAATTCTGTCTTATACTTCTGGATAATACTTAGAACTTAGGCTCACCAAATTCTGCAGTTGTTAATCACTAGATGTTTCTTTCTTTTTGTTTTTTTAAGCTTTTATTTATTCATTTGAGGAAGAGACAGAGAGAGAGAGAGCACAAGCTGGGGGAGAAGGGTCAGAGGGAGAGGGAGAAGCAGGCTCCCCGCTGAGCAGGGAGCCCGATATGGGGCTCAATCCCAGGACTCTGGATCATGACCCAAGCCGAAGCCAGATGCTTAACCGACTGAGCCACCCAGGCGCTCCACTCGATGTTTCTCGATTATCTGCTATGTATGGACACTCTGATTGCTTGAAAGCTTTTTTGTACTAAAAGTTATAGTACTTAGAACCTTTGATTTGAGATTTTTGATGAGGAGGAGAGCGGCTTCCTTTGTGAGCTACTGTATTTCTTTGATTCAAAGATGCATATTTTTTCTTAACATCTCTGAAAACTTAAAATTGACGGCATCTTATAATCTCTGTCAGCCAGGTGGTAGTCAAGAAAGCCATCAATGCCTACATATGCATGTGCTTGATATTTCGGGTGGCAAGACTGCAATTCCTTGATGTTTCAGTTAACCCCTTGAGTAGTATTTAAAAATGGAATATAACTCTAGGTTATTGTCTGAAAATCTTATCATGGGACCTTCTGATAAGGTCAAGAAAGTGCTATTATCAATGGGTATTACTGAGAAGAAAACCCCAGAGACAACTGTAGAGAAATGTAATTCAGAGGGTCTCAAATTTTTTGGTCTCAGAATCCCTACACATGCTTAAAAATTACTGTGGATCTCAAAAAGCTTTTGTTTATGTGGGTTATATCTATTTATACTTATCATTTTGGAAATTAAAACTGAGAAATGTTGAAAATATTTATTTATTCATTCCTTTAGAAATAACTATAATGAGGCACCTGCGTGGCTCAGCTGGTTAAGCAGCTGCCTTCGACTCAGGTCATGATCTCTGGAGTCCTGGGATGCAACCCTGCGTCTGGCTCCGGGCTCAGCGGGCAGTCTGCTTCTCTCTGCCTCTACCTCCCCCGCCACCACACCAACTTGTGCTTGCTCTCTCCCTCAAATAAATAAAAATATTTTTTTTTTTTTAAGATTCTATCCATTTATTTGACACAGAGAGAGAGACAGCGAGGGACGGAACACAAGCAGGGGGAGTGGGAGAGGGAGAAGCAGGCCCCCGGCGGAGCAGGGAGCCCAACGCGGGGCTCGATCCCAGGACCCCGGGACCATGACCTGAGCCGAAGGCAGACACCCAACCAACTGAGCCACCAGGCGCCCCTCAAATAAATAAAAATCTTAAAAAAAAAAGAATTATAATAAACCCATTAGATGTTAACATTCTAACAAAAATAGTACTTTAAAAAAATAAGTGAGAATGGCATTAGTTTATATTTTTTGGAAATCTCTTTTATGTCTGGCTTAATAGCAGGCAGCTGGATTCTCATATGTACTTTTGTATTCAATCTTTTGAGATATCACAAATTGTGTGGCCTCCAGAAAACACCACTGTACACTTGTGAGAGAACGAAAGTGGAAAAGGTAAATAATGTTCTATTATTATTATGAAAATAGTTTCAACTTTGGGGGCTCTCTGAAAGAGGTTAGGAGAGCCTCAGAGGTCCCCAGATCATACGTTGAGAACCACTGCTGTAACATCATGCTTTTGATGGCACAGAGGACAACACTGTGTGGAAAACCAGGTACACCAACAATTCCAAATCAAAAAGTGGTCAGAAGAGTTGGATTTTAAATTCTAATTCTAAATTAATTATACCTTAACCAATTAACTTTACTTAAACTTCTATACAGAAGAGCACTGTATGATTAAAAAATCCATGCTTGAATAAGTCTAAAAGAATTCATTCAATAAGTATAAAATAAAAATTCTATGTGATAAAACCATTTATCATAGTTTACTGGCAATGTTTTTCTTTCCTTTTGGTACATAAAATAATGGTATATCTTATAATTGATGGTCCTAGAGATTCAATTAAATATAGTAAACACTGTAAGGTCAAATTTGTGTCATATTCCCCTCATGGGGAGGAATCTGGATGTTACTGGAATTTTTAACCACAAGTAACGATGGGACTGAAAACACCAATTACAATGCAACTAACATATTTGAAGAAAATACTTTAAATGGGAAATATTTAATTTAGCATTACATATTTTCAGAATGATATTCCTACTAAATGGAAGAGTGAAATATCTTTGACTTATTCTTACAGTGAAAAGTTCTGTTTTTATAGGTAAATAATATTTTGATTTGAAAAGCTGACATTACTCTTCAATCTTCAAATTTGGATTTATTTGTAGGCTTAAAATAGTATATCATAAACTCTAAATGAAGTGCAGGTATAGTTTAGGTTTTTCTACAGTGGTTAATTATACTTTACTTTTAATCATTTGTAGCATTTGAAAGTGCTCTATGAATACAAAAACCCCCCAAATATTCAGAATAACTATTTATTTATTAAAAATAGGTATTCATCATTCTAACTCACTTACCTGGACTGTTTTTGTGGAATGATCTGCATGATTTAAAGTGGTTCTATCAGTATCTGGATCAGACTCTGTCTGCCTCAGGGAAGTACGTTTTTTCTTTGTAAGGTCTGCATCTCTATTGTAGGAGTATCCAAGTTTGGAAGTGGGAGATAAACTTGGTTTTTTGATTGGTGATTCAGGATCTGATCTGCATTCTAAGGGTCTGGAATGCTCTAACTTTTCTTTCTCCAAATTATTACTGATGTCTAAAGTCTGAAGCTTTTGTTCCTCTGTCTCACAAATGAAGGGTGGAGACACATCCTTCTTCTTATCACTAACATATAAGTCACTTAATTCTAAAGTCTCAGCTTTCAGTAGTCTCTTCTTGCCTAACCAAACTTGTGCATGGGTCGAATCTGTATTGTAACATATTCCAGGGTCATCGGATCCTGAAGTCCTTCCAGAGCTCTGCTGGGACTTTTGGGGTTCTGTGTCACTTTTAGTCCTGCGACAGTAAGGGGAGGCTGTACTTGGACTAAGATGATCATCGGGAGTCTGATGTTCACTTTCTGACTCTCCAACCCCACTGTCATTTACAAATACAGAGTCATCTTGCGATAAGAAGTCTACCGCTCCGCCACTCGAAGGCTGCAGTTCAGGCTCCCGTTTCAGATCACTAAGCTCCGCATAGAATTTTTCCTGATCAACAGAACTGTTTGTATCTGTTTCATAGTTTCCAACTTTATATGTGCTCTTACTGCTGTTTTCCTCTATCTGGACAACATTCAGTTCTTGGCCACTGAAATGTGCCCTGATTTGATAGAGATAAGTCATAACAGTCAGTTTGTCAGGAATTGCTAATAAGACCATATCAGAAGGTTCCAACAACCGGGAAATTCCTATGCTGGCAAATCCATCATATGCCTTCAAAGAAAGGAAAAACAAAGATATACTGAATAGTTCAAACAATCCACACATTTTAAAAACAGAAAAGAATAGATATTAGCTAGACATACTGAATCATTATGTTGTATACCTATAGCTAATATGTTATATGTCAATTACACTTCAATAAAAAAGTTATCAAAATAAATAAAGTTTAGTTACCATTAAAAAAGCCCCAAAATTTTAATAGATTTTGTTGTTTTGTTGGAGGGCATACTATGTTACTGACATTATTGCCACAAGAACAAAACAAAATTCCACATCAGAAATTTGTAAAAGTGGGGTAGGTACAAGAACAAAAAGTTTCTTAATTAGTAACAATTGAAATGCTCTTTTCCAATAAAGAAAAATAAGCAAAAATTAGAATTAAAACAAAAAAAATCTTAGAATCAATTTTTATAAGGAACTAAGGTATAAAGAAATAATAGAGTTTTATCATTCCTATCAACCTCTCTTTACCATGTTTCATATAACTATAAAACAGTGATTTGTGAAGAAAAAGGATAGCTACATATCCCCAAAGACCTAATCCTAGATTACCTGGTATAAAAATACAAGTGCTTAAATTATTGAAGCCTAGAAACGTAGAAACATTTTTTAAATGCCCAATTAAGACTGATTTTCATAATGAGAAGAGTGATTGCATTTTCACTTCATCCATTTTGGAAAGAATGAAATGTTTTGGGTAGTACAACTTAGTTGAGAATGTGAGGCTGCATTGTATTATTTTTGTTAGTCTTTAAATGACTGTGGCACATCAGGTTTTTCTAGTTTTAAAGAATCAAAGCTGTTTCTCAATTTACAATTAATTATTACTATCCTGAACTAACCCTTTAAAACAGCACTGTGTTGCTAGGAAGCATTAAAAATATGATTAAAGGTTCAGATATACCCTCAGAAACTAAGTATGGACCCCCTAGTTGTATTCTCACTTTGGAATATAAAATGTCTATCTTTGTAACAACCTAGATGTAGGTTCATAATTCAAAGTTTTTCTTAAAAGAAAGGTTAGGAAATTATGTAACAATTTAGAAGGAATTACTCTTTTGCACTTACATGTTGAAGTGCATTTCTACCTTTGAATTTAATCCTTGTCTCATATTCTTCCTGTAGTTTAATAAATGTTGCAGAATAAGTAAGAAAGAAAATGAAAAATAAATTGCAATATTAAAACCTCTTCAATTTTCACAGCACTATGTTTCATAATATAGGTACCTCAAAATATTTACTCAAGAGAATGGCTCAGTTGGCGTGCATGTTTAGGCCTGTTTGTTATTTTACGTGTTTTAGGAAAATTAAAGTCATTTTCCTCCTCATGTGTCTTGACAACCTGATTGACAGACATCAATTGCAGACCATCATGAAAAGCACCACAGGCGGTATTCTAAACATTTCCCAATTATCTAAAACACTGACATACTGGTTAAGATCATATGTCACAGGTAAATACCTTTTTTATTCAGCATTTTTTAAAGACCTGGGAAAATGATTAGCTTCCTTGTGGGAAGCTCCTGCTGATGTTTTGCTTTATGTAGCAATTCATTTTATGCACACTAACTGCACTAAAAAAGCATTTAAAAACAAACCGGGTTTCTTGTAAGCGAGGTCAAGACTTTATAAAGGAATTTTCCCATAGGTTAACCTCTTCTCCTGTGGTCAATCACCTGTCTTTTTAGCTGTTTGTGTGTGGAGAAAAAGAAGAGGTCTTTCAAAGAAAATTGTCTTATTCATGCCTAGATGTTATTTAATTGGTAAGGAGGAGTCATTGCCAGTTATGTTATGCATCTGCATGGAACTTAAGACACAGGCAGTGTTTCTTGTGCTGCCTTAAGTCCCATCAGGGGCAGATGGGGTTATCGGAAAGAACTGTGTGAAGCCGGAAATAAATCTGCAGGTAGCAACTGATACTCAATGTAGATATCAGGTTGGAAGTTGCAAAGTGATGAAAAGGAAAGACTGTAAAACATTTATTCAACTGTGCAATGAACAGGATCATCTAAATTAAAATCCTTTTAAAAAGCCATAATTATCTGCCCTGGAAGATCTAATTGAGAAAAAAATTTAATAGGATATTCTTTTCTACATAGTAATACGTAAACCCAAGGTATGCTCATCATTATCAAGTTCCTGAAAAAATAACGTAAAGAAGTATGACCTAAGCCTTAAGGCAAATCTCCATACTCTTAAAAATACATAGCTGGGTACAATCAACAATGTTTCCCTTTCAAAATTTCAAACAGTAATTTAAAAAGCTTCACTTTATAAAAATTATAATGGTTTATTTTATTACACCTTTATCTGCATTTAAATTAACTTAGTATTTTATTCTAATGCAAAAAAAATGCAGGCATAGACTATATCTAAAGATATAATTTAATTGATGACAAAATAGGCATTTCACTTTGATAGACACAAGCTCTCCAAAATTATACAAGAGATAATTCATGAGAATGACTTACTCTGTAGCATGCCCACCACAGATGTGATTTCTATAAAGAAAAATATACTGATATTTTAAGATAACCTTTTTTGGTGGCATATTTCAATAAAAAAACTGAGAGTTTTAAAATGTATTTCTCCAGGCCAGCATCATGCATTTGTAAAGAAAAAGGGTTTTTTAATGACAATACAAATCTTTGGGTTCAGAGAGCAATAAAAGTTAAAAAAAAAAAAATTTGTTGACTTAAATTCTCATCTGCTAACTGAACTTCTATCAAGATTCCCTTTACAGATTTTTTTAACACTGGTAGTTTTAATTGTCTAATTTAAAGTAGAATGAAAACTTTTAGTCTAGACCAGAGGTTATTAATCACTTTGTTCCCTGAATCCTTTTGGTAATGAACCCCTTCTCAGAACAATGCTTTACATTTACAAAATACATAGGATTACAAAAGAAACCAATTATATGAAAAATAAAATTATGAAAAATATTAGTAAAACTGAATTTGAGAAACAGCAATACATGTGCTTTTTATGAATGTATTAACAACTGTAATTTTGAAGAAGTGATTAGCTTAAAAGATATTTGAAGATACTAAAACTGCAATGTGATATCAAGATATCTAAGACTCTCAAGGTGATAAAGTCTCAGGAATGGCTAATGTTAAACTGGTGTGTTGCCTAAATTCATAATTGAAGGAAATACTAAATTTCACTTAAAGAATTAAGAAAATAAAACACATTTTCCTCCTAGTCACGTTCAAGAACCACCTGAATTCTATCCATACCTCCCAGATTAAGAACTCCTATTCTAAGACAACATATTTCATTAACTTTTCATTTGAAGAATTCAATGCAACATAAAACACATTGAGTACCTACTATATGTTGAGTTAGTGCTTCCCTCCTTTCTAATGTCACAGTGCACATACATGACTATAATACTGTACTGTGCACTGGGATAAATAGTTAAGTTAGCCTGTGGCCACAGTCAGCCGGCCCAAGGGCTTCTGGCAACTCAGACCCACACAGCTACCCTGAAGGCTAAAAGGATCAATATCCCCAACTGGGAAGTTGTGACCTCAGTTGGCTAATTAATTATGTGGAAAAACTGTATAGTTTACCAGAAAATGAAAAAAAAAAAAAAAAAGAACCCCAATGTTCATATCTTTCTGCTTCTAGGAACATATGCATTCTTTCTTGTATACCCATTAGGCTCCTACCCTCATCCCTTCCCAAAAGATTTTTCTAAACTCATAATCATTTATGGTATAACAGCTTTGGGTGCACTTTTTAAAAGCTAAATCTTGACTATATGCTTTAATAAATATTTAACAGTCAATGAAGTCCACACACATTAAAATTTGATGCTAGTCCAGCACTTGTGATCTTTAAAGGCTATGACAACTTAGAGTAAACCATGCATCCTATTTGAACTATAGGAAGCAGACTACCTTCTGTGAGTTGCAGTTATGACCTCACAAAACAACCTCAGTTTTCCCCAAATTAATAAAAGCCACAGAGGAGCCAAATTTGAAACTATGCATTTTTTTCCTTGGCAATTCTTACCTTTTTGTTGTTCTCTTTAATATCTTGAGGATTCAGAGACTTGTAGTCACTGAGGGAGAAAATGGCACAGTAGGTACATATAGTATTTGATACTAACAGCTGTTTTTAAAACAAACTGAATCTAAAATTTTGATATTCTATAATACCAAAGAGTAACTAGCAATTTCCCAGCAATTCAATCAACAAAACTAATAGTGTGGAAAATTAAGGAAATAAATAAATAAATAAATGAAAATAGTGATTACATGTTTCACTGCCTGAAGCTTTCCATCTAAAAGAGAAGTTAAGGCAGGGCACCAGAGACCAGTCTTGACAACCAAATTTACCATGAGGTAATCCCTTGTTGTCAATGTACAAAGTGCTACTGGCTTATTTGTCTCATCTCATTTTAACAGCCACACAATTTTCATAATAATTTCAAGTCAGTTCTTTGTATGAGATTAAGAAGAAAAAAAAAATTTTTTTTTTTAAGAGAAAAGATTGGTTTTAGGCATTCAGAAGGGAGAACTTTTCTTTCTGACACACATTTCTTTTCTCAAAAAGCAAAGGTATGGGTAATAAACAAAGTCAACTATTTCAGGACACATGTTAAGAAATTATTTGTTTTTCGGGCACCTCGGTGGCTCAGTCGTTAAGTGTCTGCCTTCGGCTCAGGTCATGATCCTAAGTCCTGGGATCAAGCCCCGCATCGGGCTCCCTGCCCGGCGGGAAGCCTGCTTCTCCCTCTCCCACTTCCCCTGCTTGTGTTCCCTCTCTCACTGTATCTTCTCTGTCAAATAAATAAATAAAATCTTAAAAAAAAAAAAAAGAAATTGTTTTTTTAAAAAACTGTCTATTATTTACAAAATATTTATAGGGAATGGAAAATGTTTCTACTTACATTAAATCTGGTCTAAAGTGGTGTAATATTGCACAAAAAGATAAACCATTTCTCCACGATGTAGTAAAATTGGTGATTTTCACTCCCCGATAGTTTTTTGTAACTTCTTTGCACCATACAAGCAATGACTGACTAGCATTTGGCTTTCGCCCCAAAACAGGACTTGGTATAGGACTCGGCTAGAAAAAAGGAAAAGAGAAAAACATTAAAATAATTTAATGGAAGATGAAAATTAACATTAATTGACCTAACTAGATTATTTAAACCCTTTGATGTCGGTTTAGGTCCTTCAGAACTATCAATTCAAGACAACTATAACCTCCAAGAAGGAGACATGAATCTTAAGTTATTATCTTCAGTTTTAGCCTATGGCATTTGCCTGACAAGAACGTAGATATGCAATATTTTAAACTCATACATAAGAACAAGCCAAGAGCTATATTGATGGAAACATTATATTATTTAAATACTTAAGTCTGAATATCTGTGTAACTCTTACACCCTAAGAAATTTTCCCCAAATATAATCATGTACAAATATAGTTCCTTTTTGACTAGATTAAAAATAATGTATTTTGAAGTCTAACTGTAGCACAAATTGTTAGCAGGGGAAAGATCAAAAATGCTAGTTTTTTTTAAATGCAGTGATCATTCATTTTAGATAGCACAGTGATAATCATACTCAGACATTTCTTATATAAATTTAATGATGGCAAAACAGATCTACTTTTGTAGGTCAGTTAGGGGTGTGTGTGTGTGTGTTAAATCTTAAGCATATTCTTTGTTTTTCCCCTTGTTAATATACTTAAAACAATGATGACAAAAAAACCCCAAAAACTACATAAGACTTTTATCTTGAACTTTTATTATTCTTAAAAACATGTCACTTTCTTTTACTGAGTAACAATCACATTTTGTGATGGTAACTTTAGAGACTGGTACACTGAAAACCATAAAGAAAACTACTAAATGTTTCTGGATTTTAAATTATGCTACCAGGGGCGCCTGGGTGGCTCAGTCGTTAAGCGTCTGCCTTCGGCTCAGGTCATGATCCCAGGGTCCTGGAATCGAGCCCTGCATCAGGCTCTCTGCTCCCCGGGCAGCCTGCCTCTCCCTCTCCCACTCCCCCTGCTGTGTTCCTGCTCTTGCTGTCTCTCTCTCTGTCAAATAAATAAAAAAATCTTAAAAAAAAAAAATTATGCTATCAGTTAAGAGTGCTGACTATAAACATAAAATAGAGGCCCTCTGAAATAAGGCGAAAGGGGAATAATTATTTACCCCTAATATCACTTAAGTTTAACAAGCAAACCATTCTTGCCACACACCTTACTTAAGAAAGACCAATGATGCCCCCACTTGACAAAAACATGTTAGTGCCAAACAATTAAAATCATCAACTCTGAGGTAATTATAATTATGCATTCACTGCTCCCGTGAAAAAACTACTAAGAAACGCCAAGGATGTAATTTCTTATTTTTTATTGTATTTTTATTAACTGTCAGATTAACAAACTGTTATATAAACAAGCATGAATCTTGCAAAATGCTGTCCTTTATTATTTTTTTTAAAGATTTTATTTATTTATTTGATAGAGAGAGAGGGAACACAAGCAGGGGGAATGGGAGAGGGAGAAGCAGGCTTCCCGCTGAGCAGGGAGCCCGATGCGGGGCTTGATCCCAGGACCCTGGGATCACGACCCGAGCCGAAGGCAGATGCCCAACAACTGAGCCATCCAGGTGCCCCAACAAAGTGCTGTTCTTTAAGTAATCACCTATACAAAGTAAATGCTGAAAAATTCACAGGCCATAAAATTCAATAAATTTGGATCAATTCCACTTAATATGAAGAAGTATACTGGTAAAAATGGAATTCCCAATGTAATAAGCTATTTACTTTAGAATAAATAATAGATCTTTTAACCACATCAATTTGACATGTATAAAAATGAACTATTAAATATCTTTTCATCTAATGGTGACTTTCCATTGTGATTTTCAAATTGTTCTAGTCACTTAACCTGGAAGTGGAGTGGAGAATGTTCTACGGATGAGGTAGGGGATCAATGAACTGGGCACAAACACATTTTTTTCCTTAGACTTCCTATTAAAGGATTGTTTTTAATAAAATGTTTTCTTTATCAAATTATATTATTAAGGCATTGACTCATTCCAAGTATGAAGAAGAAGTACATAGGCCAGATAATCTGCAACTATCATTACACTGATTGATTCCAATTATCAGAAGCACATAGATAGGTCATGTACAAAAGTCATTATCACTACCTAGAGTAGCTTTCCGTACTTAAGAAATAGGGAAAATATACCATGTCATTATTATTATGAATATACCCTCGTTTCTAAGAGGGCTCAATATGAAAAGCCTAGAAGAACTAAACTAAATTTTGGATTTACCCTAACATAACACCCTTGAATTAAAAAGATCTTACAGGGATGCTTACTGCACTGCCAAAGCAAAATAAATCATTTGTAATTGAAGAAAAAGTCATTTGTAATTGAAGAAACTTGCTAAAAATACAAGGCCTATAAATGGTCGTATTGGTTGCACAGAAAGAGGACTGAGGTAGAACGACTGTACAATAAATCATCCACTTCAGAACAGCTGATCTTTCATCTAATATTTTGCAGAGGGTCATAAAGAAATAAGCAGTTAAACAAGTTCAGAACCTTCAGGATATTAATGAATGTAATTGCTTGTTTCTTGCTATAGCTGGCTCCCGATGTGGCAGGTTACTTTACTTCTCTATGTCTCCATTTCTTCATCTATAAAAGGTGGATTGTAATGGCGTAAATCTCATGGTGTCACTGTAGTAACAGGACTGCCTCACCATCCTCCCGCCCATTATTGCTCATTACCACTCTCTCCCTTGATCACATTGAACTGTAGTAACCTCTTTGCTGTTCTTTAGATACCCAAGACATGGTCCCACCTTAGTGCCTTTGTACAGACTGTTCCATTTGCCTGCTCTCCTGCCAGATATCTGCATGGTTAACTCCAATGCAACCATCTTCATTATGCCTATTTTAACTACCCTATTTAATAATGCAACTCATCTCCATCATTCAACCTCAACACCACACTCCTGACTACCTTACCTTGCCCTATTTTTTCCATAGTACTTACCATCTTCTTATCGTCCATATACTTTTTTTGGTTATAACCAAAATATGATTATTGGTCACGCTTACTGCTTATTACTTTGTCCATTCTCACCAAATAAAAGGGCTATGAAGATACGGATCTTAGTTTGTTTAGTTTATTAACTTATCCAAAGCATCCAGAACAGATCCTGACACATAGCAGGCACTCAATTAATACTATTAAATAAATACTTGGCATGATGTATGGCACATAGAAGCAACTCTGTAAATGTTAATTGCAATTATTATTACTACAAGCAATAAATTACCAGCACTTGAATTCCTATTTTTGAGGGTCTTCTGGAAACTTCAAAGGCCATGAATTTCTTCAAAATTAGTGAAAAATACTTTTGAAAACAAAGCTTTAACTAGAAGATAGTCCTGACACTTTACTGCAAAATGGGGCACTTGGAATTCTTGGCAATGCATCTATTTCTATGGGTTTGGTGAAAAAAGTTCTGAATGACTGTAATTTAGTGCTTTCCAAAGAAAAGAAGACATCAAAATCTGACCATTAATGGTAGAACCAAACTTTCAGATGTTGGAACAACTCTTTAAAAGCTCTTTATTTTTGCAGGGACTGGATGTATGAGAAGGCATCTTTATTTAACATACTGGGAAAGTAAAGGACAGATATTATAGTTATCTTTTTTATGCACCAAGAGAGGAAATTTCTAAGAGTCATCCTAATTATAATTATGGTGAGATTAATCAGAATCTGATTGATTTTGATTAACTGATTAACTAGGTGATTCTTCCAGTTCTCTCTCAATCAAGCTACTATATGGATGAAATTGCACCAATCTCAGCTTAACCAAGAACTACAAATCGATGTCAACCATCATGATTATAGAGCCAGTTTTAAGTGCTGACAGTACAGAGGAAATAGGACTTGAAACCACTGTTTCACTTAACAGTTCTATTGTCTAGTATGGATAATTTTAATGTATTGTTTCTGTTAACATAGTATCTTACATATTAAAGACAGTAAGGCCACCTAGTCACTCTTGCTATCAATGGCGATAGGATTGCTTTCAGAAAACCTGTCGAATAACTTGTTACAAAATTTCCTAAATTTTAATAGCTGCAATTCCATTTTTTCTGCTCTACCTCTCTCACTACAGTTGTTTTCTCTTTGGTCTTTCCCCTTCTTCCACTGATAAAAGCACATATATATCCCTCTAGGTATTGCTCTAAATAGTTTTCTCTTTCCACACTTTGAGCTGATTCACTCCCAGGATTTCAACTATCACTTCCATGCAGATGATTCCCAAATATACATTTATAGTTCAAACTATCTCAAGTTGACATTTCCAGCTGGCCGTCCTTCCTGCCATATAAAATTCAAACTCAATATGTTCAAAACCATAATTATAATCTTTCCTTACAACCTGCTTCATCTTCATTCTGTTTACAAATGATACTGCTATTGTCCCAATTATCCAGACTTTGAATCTCAGAATCAGCTTTGACCTCTTCTTTCCCCTATCATCCTTTATTAGTTAATCCATGGGAAATTTTGATCCTATTGTTGTAATCTATCTTCTTTTGCCTAGCTATTGCAAAATCTTCCTAATAGGTCTTCCTTCTTCCAAATTCTCCCTTATCTGATTCATTGCCATAGCAACAATCTTCTTAAAGCACAGGTCAAAGCCTCTCATTACTCATAAACATATAAAATGATGTCAAAATACTTTTGAGCGAAGAATCCCAAATCTTTTTTAACTATCTACTCTCTAGGATGATTCACCATTCTCTGGAATCACTATGCTTTCCTCCCTAGCCCCAGCTCCCCCACTTCCTGTCCTTGATCATACAGATTGTCACCACACTTTGGAGTATCTTCTGTCCCAAGTACAATTGCTACAATTCCACTCTACCTTCAAAATTATGTACAACTGTCATCTTGCATATGAAATCTCTTTCCAACTCCAATTACTAAGGATTTTCAGTATTCCTTTGAATTCCATCTAGAATTTTTACTATGTATGTATTATTTCTTCCATCCACAAAAAGACTTA